ATGATAAAAGCCCTTGAAATTCTGGGGATACAAGGAACATACCTCAACATCATAAAGGCCATCTATGACAAGCCAACAGCCAGTATCATTCTCAATGGTGAAAAGCTGAAAGCAATTCCATTAAGATCTGGAACAAGACAAGGATGTCCACTCTCACCATTGCTTTTCAATATAATACTGGAAGTCCTAGCCAGGGCAATAAGACAAGAGAAAGACATCCAAGGAATCCAAATTGGAAAAGAAGAAGTCAAACTATCACTATTTGCAGACGATATGATATTATACATAGAGAACCCCAAAAACTCCACAGAAAAGCTAATTCAACTCATCAATCAGTTCAGTAAAGTGGCAGGATACAAAATCAACACGCAAAAGTCAGTAGCCTTCCTATACACAAACAATAAATCTGAAGAAGAAGAAATCAAAAAAACCATCCCTTTCGTTATTGAAACAAAAAAAATCAAATATTTGGGAATAAATCTAACAAAAGAGGTAAAGGACCTATACAAAGAAAACTATAAAACACTGTTAAAAGAAATAGAAGAAGACACAAAGAAATGGAGAGACATCCCCTGCTCATGGATTGGAAGAATAAACATTATTAAAATGGCCATCCTTCCAAAAGCAATATACAGATTCAATGGTATTCCAATCAAAATTTCAATGTCATTCTTCAAAGAAATAGAACAATTATTGATGAAATTCATATGGAATCACAAAAAACCCCGAATAGCCAAAGCTCTCCTGAAAAAAAAGAAGGGAATGGAGGCATCAGACTCCCAGACTTCAAACTATACTACAAAGCCATAATCATCAAAACTGCATGGTATTGGAACAAGAACAGACATACAGACCAATGGAATCGAATAGAAAATCCAGAAATAAACCCACAGATTTATGGTCAACTAATCTTTGACAAAGGAGCAAACACTATGCATTGGAGCAAAGAAAGTTTGTTCAATAAATGGTGCTGGGAAAACTGGGTCGCTACATGCAAAAGAATGAAGCTTGACCACTACCTCACACCATACACAAAAATCAACTCAAAATGGATTAAAGAATTAGACATAAGACCTGAAACCATAAAATATATAGAAGGAAATATAGGCGAAACACTACGTGATTTGCACATCAAAGACATCTTTACAGACACATCACCCAAAGCAGTGATAGTGAAGGCGAAGATAAACAGCTGGGACTACATCAAATTAAAGAGCTTCTGCACAGCAAAAGAGACAATAAAAAAACAAAGAGAAACCCCACCAACTGGGAGAACATTTTTGCACCCAACACTAATGATAAAGGACTGATCACAAAAATCTGCAAAGAGCTGATGAGACTCAACAACAACAAAGAAAATAATCCAGTCAAAAAATGGGCAGAAGAGCTAAAAAGAAACTTCTCTGAAGAGGAAACGCAAATGGCCAACAGGCATATGAAAAAATGTTCAACATCACTTGTCATCAGGGAAATGCAAATCAAAACTACCATGAGATACCATCTTACACCAGTGAGAATGGCACATATTAAAAAAACTAGCAACAACAAATGTTGGCGAGGGTGTGGAGAAAAAGGAACTCTTCTGCACTGTTGGTGGGAGTGCAAACTGGTCCAACCACTGTGGAAAGCTGTGTGGAGATTTCTGGACCTACTAAACATAGAGCTTCCATATGATCCAGCAATTCCACTCCTAGGTATTTTCCCAAAGGACACAGAAACATCAATTCCAAAGAACACCTGCACCCCTATGTTTATAGCAGCACTGTTTACAATAGCTAAGCTTTGGAAACAACCCAAATGCCCAAAAATAGATGACTGGATCAAGAAGATGTGGTACATATATACCATGGAATATTACTCAGCATTCAAAAAAGATAAACACATGCAATTTGCAGCAACATGGATGGCGCTGGAAGGGATCATGCTCAGCGAAATAAGCCAAAAAGAAAAAGAAAATACTGGATGGTCTCACTCATAGCAGGAATCTAGAAAACTTAAATAAGGGACCAGGAAAATGAATAACTATAAGAAAGTGAAAATCAAAATCAACAAAAAACTATGAACCAGAGACACTTTTAGGGGGGCAGGGGCGGGAGGGGAGGGATTGGGGTCAGAATGGGGGCGCTGCAATTGTATGGGGAATATAACAATAAAATTTATTATCTAATAAAAAAAAAAAAATAAATGTGTCATGTGCAACTTGTTGTTTTCTTCTTAGCTTTACTTCATCATTTAGTTAAAAACATATTCATTGTATGCCCTGCATTATACTAGATGTTGGCAATTACTTTCCTAAGCTGTTACCATTTCATAAAGTAGAGACAAGTTCTAATGAAGATTAATTCATTAAATTAAAATTTTTTGAATTATTTAAATAGTCACTATAATAAAGACTAGCTTAGACTAAAACATTTAGAAGTGTAAATGCTTGCTACACTGGACTATAATGTGCATCTTATGTGGTAGGGCATATTCTCACCAATACAGGGTTGGAGTCTGTCCTTTCCAGAAGAGGCCAGTGAGCTAGAGAAATGTGGTTCAGTTTACTTAAATGTGCTATGAACAGTATATCCTCTGTACTATGAAGCTGAAGGTCCTATCATTCCCCTTTCATCAGCTGAAGCAATGTTATTCTAAAATGAATTGGACACTATATCTCAATGTCAACAATTTTAGAAAAATGGCATTATATTCAGCTCTATTCATTACCTTTACATTTTATATCTTGCATAAGAATACTTTAAAATTAGAACCTTTTACTTCAGTTTCTAATTTTTTAATTGCTCAATAAAAATGTACAGAACATCAAAAAATGTAAGTTACATAAGAGATGAATTAGAGAAAAAACCCTGTCTTCAAGAAGATTGCATTCTAGTACAGAAATAAACATTTATACCTACAAGGTATAAATAGATATGTAAATATAGTGAAAGATAAGGAAAAAAGAAATCAATTCTGAACAGGATAACCTCAGTTTGTTACAAATATGAATTAGTCCTTGAAAGAGAAGAGAATTACAAGGAAAGGGAGAAAAGGCATTGGAGACTATGAGGACAGCACTGGTCAAGGCAAGGACATAGATGATCTATAAATTAAATGCAAACCACCATAAAATTCACAGAAGTATGGGATGTGGAAATCTTCTGTAGTGAAGCTCCTGTGCTTGTGAGCCTTCTGGACCTCATCCTATGTACCTTTTCATCTGGCTGTTCATCGGCTGTATGCTTTATGTATTATAAATGGAAACATATGCAGTTTCCCTGACTTCTGTGAACTGCTCTAGCAAATTATCTAACCCAAGGAAGGGTTGTGGGAGGCTGATTTACAGCCTGTTGGTTAGAAGTATTGGGGATACAACCTGGGACATGTAACTGGCGTTGGAAGCAGCAGCAGTCCTGTGAAACTGAATTCTTTTTTTTTTAATTAATATTTTATATAATTCTTACATCATTTTTCATTTTTGCACAATGTATGCATTATCGTTTTGGTTATATTCCCCATACAATTGCACCCCCCCTTATTTTGACCCTAGTCTTTCCTCTCCCCTTCCCCCCACCCCAGTGTGTCTCTGGTTTATAGTGAAACTGAATTCTTAACTTGAATAATTCTTTTTTTTAGCATTTTTTTCACTTTTTTTAATTTTTTATATTTTTTACTTCATTTTTCATTTTTGCACAATGTATGCATTTTCTTCTTTGTTATAGTCCCCATACAATTCCCACCCCCCTTGTTTTGATCCTATTCCCTCCTTCCCCCACCCCCCCCAGGTGTGTCTCTGGTTTATAGTTGCTTGTTGATTTTGATTTTTACTTTATTATAATTAGTCTTTTTCCTGGTCCTTTATTTAGGTTTTCTAAATTCCTGCTATGAGCGAGACTATCCGGTATTTTTCTTTTTCTTTCTGGCTTATTTCACTGAGCATGATCCCTTCTAGCTCCATCCATGTTGCTGCAAATTTCATGAGTTTATCCTTTTTGATTGCTGAATATTCCATTGTGTATATGTTACCACAATTCTTAACTTGAATAACTATTTAATAGATAGTGTTAGAATCAAATTGAATTCTAAGGTACCCACATATGTGGTGTCAGAAATGTTGAGTGTAAGGGAGAAACAGAGTTTTTTCATTGATTAGGTTGTTTAGAAACAGCAAATGTAGGTTTGGAAAGAGGTAAATTCTAAGTTTGAAGTCATGGAACATCCATGGAAAATGTCAAATTCCATTCATAGATAGTTGGAAATTTGATTCTGGAGCACAGGACTCTAGAGGCTTCAATGGATATGAACACTTGAAGTCATCACTACGGAGTAGTAGATGATATCAGTCAACAAGCTTTTAAGCAGGGAAGAGAGTAGGGGAAAGACACCCAAGAAATATCCATGTTCAAATGCTGGGTGGAGAAAATAAGAGAATATGAATGACATCAAGGAGATAATTAGTAATAACGCCCAGGGGAGTACAGCATCTCCAGAGTGCGATAGGTAGAGTCAGATTTCCAGCATGAGAACCACCAAACATTCAATGATGGTAGAGAGGAAAGTCAGGTTATAAATCAAAAGCCTGCAGGGAGACCTTTTAAAGGAGGTCAAGAAATCTAGGAGGGGCGGAGTGTCAGGTGTAAAGTGTGAATGAAGGATACCTGAACACAGTTATTTCTGTTATAACAAAAACCAACGCAACTTTTTTTCTCTTGAAATAGGCAAGAAAAGGGGAAAGGACTGCAAGATCCTGGAAAAGATCAACAAAAAAAAAAAACAACAGTCCACATGTAACAGCTACTTCACCATGGGATGGTAAAAGTAAGGTATTTCAAGAAAACAATTCTTTGGAAAGAGTTCAAAATAGGTATACCATATACTTTATGTGGAGTTTTTAAAAATTATGAAATAATTCTAGCATATATGAAATATTTTAATAGTGAAATTGCAATATATTCATAATAGTCATGTTCTTAGCCCCTCCTAGATAAATTTCTTTTGGACTGATTTTTTGTTATTACCTGTCGACTGAATGTATTCTGTACATGCATCCAGTAATCTTCAACTGGGTCATAACAGTATATTGCCTTGGTCAGTCCACCAGCAACATATATCAGGTTGTTTAAGGATACAGCTGTAATACATCTCTTGGCAATTGGGATAGCTGCACGAAGTAGCCAAGAATTGGTTTCTGGATCGTAAGATTGAACCTAATAATATATAGAAATATTTAATTAAAATTTCTAATAAAAACGCAAATTTACTTAAACTCTGCTGATATATAGTATCATCATTAAAAACCAAATCCCATTAATTCACAGAATTAAGGGAGGTTAGTTTGATAGTGAAATATTTTGATTACTAAATCCTCAAAAGACAGACAAATTTATTTCTATCAAACAGAATAGAGTACCAAATACAGATAGCTTCCAGGAAAAAGGATGACCAGGTTTGCTTTACTTATTTCCATTAAAATTAACAGTTAAAGCTGTGTCATATAGAACTATGCCTCAATCTGAATATAACTTCTTTTTACATTTTTAGGAAGTTCTTTTTTCAAAGGAACACATGTAAATTTTAATTTAGCAAACTTTGAAATACCACACATGTTGAATAAATGAATTCTAAATATCTTACATTTGACAACATGTTAAAATTTAGTTTAGAAAAATAATTTATTAACAAAATTCAGGTAACTATTTGGGTAAAATTCAGCTTAACTAATTAAGTATTAGACACTTGTTTCCAGAATAAACATGGTATTTCCTGAAAATGGCACATGTCCTTTTGTCCCAGGAGTTCAATGAACTACATCAAGTAGGAACAGCGCTCTATTTACATTACAGAGATTTTCTTTCCTCTTCTTTGTTCTAAAAAATACTTTTAAAGTATGCAGAAAATGACCTCGTTGGAAGCAGTAAAATCAGTTACTGTGTTCTATCCTTTGCAAATTTAATTCCCACCATGATTTGTGTGGGTAATTTTTTGACTCTGTAGACTACAACATAAAAGGATAAAAATTTAGTACCAGATCTCAACATTTTGAGACTAGTCTATTAATGGTTTCAAAAAAGATTGAATCATGTTTTTTATAGCAAATTGTCAGATATATTAGGAACTTTAGTAACTTGAAATTCACTGTTTCCTCGACATACAAAGTACCAGACCATTTTTAAAAAGTCCCCAACATTAAGGAACTTAGCTCCTTAAATGATAAGCTTTCTGTATTTCTGTACCTATATAAATCAGTGGTAATTTCTAAAACAGAACATGGCTTACCTTATCAGAACAAGTATTATCATCAGGTCCTCCACCAATCACAAACAATTTGCCTACACAGCTAGTCACAGCAGGAGAACTCACTGCTTCCTTAAGGGGAGCAACTTCAGTCCATCGATTTGAAAAGGAGTCATAACATTCTACGCTGCTAAGTCTGTTTTGCCCATCATAGCCTCCGACAACATACACCTATACATAAAATATATGGGGGAAAAAAATCTTAATTTTATCAAAAGTCTGGATTTTTGAACATGAGCTAAAAAATTAAGGGATCTCTCCCCTTTGAAAAGCTCTTGATAACTACAACTGCAATAGATTTAGCTCAGTTTCTGAAAATATTTTTTAATCATGCCCTTACCACCACAAAGGAGTCTTTCTCTACATTTTTTTCATAATAGCCCCCTCCAAAGAAAATGTAATGCCATATATACAACAGATATTGTATATCTGTTTAGATAATATATGCATATATATGTGCTTTTTACATGAAACAGTACAATTTTTTCCACCCCCCTAAGAACCAACTTCCATCTCTTCAATGATGACACATCTCAAATTGAGAATTATAGATGGTCCCTGACTTATGATGGTCTAACAGTTTTTTGATTTTATGATGGTGCCAAAGTGACATGCATCACTTTGATATACATTTGATTCTGATCTTTTCCCAGCCAATCATATGCAGTACAATACTCTGACGCTGGGCAGCTGGAGGATGCCAAAGCTCCTAGTTAGTCATGAGGGCAAACTACCATTTCATTTTTCACTTTCATTGCAGTATTCAATAAAGTACTTGAGATACTTGACACTTTATTATAAAATAGGCTTGACGTTAGATGATTCTGCTCAATTGTAGGATAATAACAGAAATGTTTTGAGCATATTTAAGATAGACTTAAGCTATGATGTTGATGTTTGATAGGTTAGGTGTACTAATGGAGTTTGAATTCATGATATTTTTAACTTCTAAAGGATTTATTGGGATAGAATCTCATCATAAGTCAAGGAAGATCTGTACATGATTTAAGTTAAATGTTCACACTCGTGGATGATGAAAATATTTGATTATTACAAAGTAATAAAGCCATGAACTTAAATATTAGGTAAAGATTACCAGACTGTGAGATCTTTGGAGTCAGGGCTTACCTTCTTACTCATTTTATTCCCTACAAATACCTAGCAAAATACCGACACATAATGAACTATATATTTCAAAGGGTTTTCACGTACATTTTCTTTTCACAAATGTGAGGCAAATTAACATCTTTACATGACAGGTGAAGTAACAAGCTACTTATTACATGACTTATGTGCAGAGTAATCCATTAAGCATCATGAGCTATATAAGTAATCTTGAACGTAAAGAAATTCTCCAGTTCAACATTTACAATTCCTTTAATGGATTAATCCTTCCCTCCACATCTTAATTATTAATTCTCATGTGTCTCCTTTAACAGTATCTCTCATATCTGTCCCTTCCTTTTGTTTCCTACTGCCAGTATCCTACCTCAGGGTCCTTATCACTTCATACTTCACAATTAATCTCCTAGTCTTCCCTCTTGTGTTCTCTAAAGCACAGATTATATTATCTTTCTAAGCACCTTATCAATTTTTCTTTATAAGCTTGGGCAAGTAACTTGATATCTTTGGATTTAATTTCTTAATAAGCTGAAAAATCTACATTAAATATTCTCTAAGATTCCTCTTTGTTCTAAAGTTCTATTTTCCAAACTATCCTAGATATTTTTAACAGAGTATAAATTTAAATAATAGTCTAAGTTCGAATTCAGTCTGTTATCATTTTTAGGATAGTGACTTCCATGTCAATTGAGTATTTGCATAAACTAGACAAAAATCTCCCTTTTGGATACTTTCAAATCAAGTATACTAATATTTGTCAAATAAATTTGTGTCCACTAACTCATACATGGTATTAGAGATAGCATTTTCATTTGCTTTTCTATGTCCACAATAATTATATATTTTGAATTAGGCCTTATCTCTTCCTGTCTCTTAATGTTGCTGTCCCTTTCCAGTAATGTTTTGCCATAGCTACAAAAACTATATAACAAACCATTGAAAAGACTATACATAACCAAAAAGAACAAAAACTATATATAACAAACCAGGGACTAACAAACTATTGGGAAATATTCTATTAATATTTTATGTCCACTGCATATGTCACAAGGTCCTCCTTACTTCATTGGCCTTGTTTACAGCAGCATACTAGATGAATATCCTCGGGTATAATAATAGCAGCTTTCTACTGTTCTTTGGGAAGCTTTAGTATTCTACAGCATAGAGATTTCAAGAAGCCTTTGTGGGGAGATGGGGAAAGGGGAAGACAACTAATAGGGGGCTGGGAAGGTTCCTAGTGCCATCTTTGTTTCAATTAGCAGATTTGTTTTCTCATTGGTGGTTCTAAAATATCTCCATTAGAGGACCTAAAAGACAGCAATATTTTTAGAGAGGGGTACTAGGGAACCAGTCAAAAATACATGTGCAAGCAATGCATCCAACTCTTACTTAAATTGTTCATTAATGAGGTGGCTTTAGAGGAAGTGATAAGAGATGGAGGCAAGAAAAACTATTAGACCAAGTTAGCCTTTGGTAAAGCTGCTATAGTTTTATTTGTTTCTGTGTAATGCAGTATTATAATAGATTTAACATTTAAAAAGATGAGATAGTTCTTATTCTAAATTTAGATAGTTCTTGCTCTAAATTTTAGATTCTAAAATTCCTAATGGCAATGAAGGGTTCAAATCCAAATTTTACATATATATTTTATAATGTTTATTAGCTGCAGTCATTAGTAAGTTTTCTTTAAAACATACTGGTGAGTTTATCTTAATTTTTTTAAAATTTATTTTGTCTTTACTTGTACAAATAAAACAGATAAAATAGCATTACTTAGATAAACATATCTCTGTCTGGCTGCCAAAGTCAGCAAAAGGTAAAAGATTGCTTGGATTAGACATTGGCCTGCTTTTGTACTTGGTGTAACAACCTTATTTCCTAATGTTCTTAGGCATTTAAAACCTAGCGGAGCATGAGAAGAGAAATGTGCTACATTGCCACAAATTCCAAAGTGGGAGAACAAAATATCCATTGAAGAGTACAGTGTCAAATTGTTTATATTTTCAGCTTATCTATTGAGGTTAGATGTAGAAGGAATACACAATTTGAATTCAAAATACCCACAGGGAGAGTAAAATGAAGGATTTAATGTGGTATTTATTTTGGAAATGTACCAATAGTAATAAAAAGTGGTTTCTCTTACTTTACCAAGAAGGACAGCCATTTTGTGACGCCACCTGCCTTTATTTAGAGAAGCAACTCTGATCCAAATATTTAATTGTGAATTATAAATCCAGACATCACGGCCATTGATTCGTCCACCTTTAAATGCAAAATAAAGTACATACAATTATATATATATATGTGTATGTATCTCATCAAGGGATATATGCCATCAAGGGATATATGCCACCAAGGTATAGAATAATGAAAACATGGAATTTATTTACCCAGTATATAAGAACTTGAGAATTCAGTTCAATAAATAAAACAAGGACCCTCTGAAAACTTACTAGAAATAGCTCTATAGATCATACTTAAACCTGGACAATTGTTATCCAGAAAAATAATGATTATATGCCTCAAAATAATAAGATGCAGGACATGAATTTTATAAATGTGTAGGTTGCTGATTTAGGAGTGGGTATCAGAAGCACCTAAACAACAGAAAATCTTCTAAAAAGATTTTAAAAAGTCATCTTTCTAGAAGCATACCATTTGTACAAAATAAAGTATGTATTGTTATATATTGTTTGATGTGTGGTAATAATTTTGTAAGATTGGTAAAATTAAACAATTAACTGACTTTAGAACATATTTGGTTATATTTGTATGTTACATTTGGTATGATTGTCATTTTAGTATGTTTGATTTTTGATATCACATATTATATAAAAAATTAAAGAATTTTCAAGAAAAACCTATCTAATAAACTTTGGGGAAATTTTCAGAAAATATGGGCAGATTAGAGGTGCTTAATTCTTTGAGTACTTTTGATGTTGCACACTTAACTGTGTTCCTTAAAATAGACTTTTTAAAATCTTTTTAAAATAAATAGGTGAAAGTTCTAAAATTTATACCATATTTTCTTTGCATTTGAGAGCATTTGAAATATGATATGATTAAAGGCACTTTCTAGTAGATTTTTTTTGTAAATTGTTCTGCACCATCTTCTGCCTGTTTTTAAGAGCAAAAAAGTCACTGTCCATTTTATTTGTTGTATAAACTAATCTGCCTAATAGGCACATTCAGAAAAAAGTCAGGAGGGGAAAGACAAAAACTGTGTATGTTTTAGATTGGCACATAAGAAAAAAATAAAAAATAAAACTATTTACCATTAAAAAACAAACAAAAAAACTGTATATGATTTCACTCATTGTGGACTATAAAGAAAACAAAACAAAATTTTAGACTCTGAAAACAGAATGTTGGTTACCACAGGGGAAGAAGGGAGGTAATAATGGGTAGAAGGCCAACTGGTTTGTCAGGGATCGTGAATGTACATTTGGTAACATAGTGGGAAAATACAGTCTTGGGACCTACAGACCACTGCCAACTAATATTACCTTGATTTAAAAAAAGGGGGGGGCACCTCTACTTTCACTGTTTTCTTTTAAGACATTTAAATTTACCACTTAAAACAGCTAAGCTGTGTTCAATTTAAAGAAGCTACTATGATAATTCTTTATTTACCTGAAACAAGAATGTCATTCCTTAGAGCACAGACTGCATATTCTGATTTGGTAAATTCTGGAAGCTTAGCCAAAGACTTCCATTCTCCTGTCACAGGATCATAGCACTCAGTGTATGGAAGATTAAACCCTCCAACTCGTTCACAGCCTCCAACGACAACTATCACCTCAGAATAGCCAGTTGACCTAAAATATTTATTATAAAAGAATGCATGAATAATAAAATATACTCAAGACTGTTTAAAATCCTAAAAACATACCATTATTATAAACAGTTAAGTTTATTCTCTGTGTATGTGCCAAATAATACAGGACGCTAATCACTTACTTTGAGACATATATAAGGGATTTAATGACATCATTTTTTTACCACAAAAACTTTGTATTTTTTCCTATGAGTTTTGCCTTATATATTTGCCTTATAAATTGCAAAACAGTCCAAAAATCCTACTTAACTCAATTGTAAACCTGGAAATATTTAGGATGACTTTCAAATGCAGTTTTGCAGTGGTTCAAATGCGCATATCCATACAAGGTAAGATAATACATTTTTTCTAAATGTAGGAAAATGGTGTTTTCCTGAGATTGTCAATTCTAAAAAAGCTGAGTCATAGTGTAATCTGAGTACCCTTTAAAGGAGTGTATGCATTTGTTCAGAAATTATTTTTTAAAATAAATTTTAAAAAGTTAAGTAAATGAAGGTAATCCAACACAAACTATTGCATAGTCACTAAATATGTCAACAAAATTTGTAACAAAGAGTGTCAAAGGAAAAAAAGCAAGATGAAAAACTGTACCTAAAGTACAATGAACATGTAAAAAACTGGTCGGAAAGAATATATCAAAATACTAACGATGTTTGCCTCTGGATTCTATGACTTCCCACTTCCTAGCAACACAAAATTTGAAAATGATAGTGAGACTGGGCAATTTTTAGAGTGGAAAATCAACTTTTATGAGAACTGAGAGAATACTGAGATTTATGTTATAATCACTGGCTTCTTTTAATTTGTAGTTTAAATCTAAGATAGAGGCAGAAAAACTAAAAGCTTATCAACCCATTGCTGTTGTTCAAAAGGCTCAGTAGATAGTTTTGGAATTTTAAAGTTCATTTGGCCTTTATTTTTTCATGAATATAATCTAAATGAAAAAGTCTTAAAACTGCATTTTGTGGTTGCTATAATTTTCCAATTTCAGTACATGTGTTGCTGAAGTGAGCACTGGTTGTTATAATTTTAAGTATCACAAGCAAAAATAAGAACAATCCATTTTCTCTTACTTAAATGTGGAGGAGAAAAAAACCAGATCAGAACACTGATTTTAGTTTTAGACAGTGTGATGTTTCACAATTACAGTTGGGAAAAAAATTAAAGTGGGATGTCCCTTTAACAGAGCTGCTATAGTCTAGCTACATTTACTCACAGCTATTACAACTGAATTACTCACCACCATTCTATGCCAGCCATACCGTTCCATTATAAATCAGAAAAACAAATTGTAGAAAATAATTTTGTTCATGAAATTACTTTTAGGAATTCAGCAAATTATATAAGCCTAACTAGTATATGTAGGACATACTATCTTCGAGAGGACTCAAATATCAATAGTATATTCTACTTTGTAAATATTTCAAAATGAAAATATTAAAAGTAAATAGCACCAGATACTTAGTAGTCTAAATCATCCTACTTTCCATATAAGTACCACTTCCTAAAATCATACTTAAAATACTGTAAGACAAATCCATGTGATAATCAAGGCAATTATTAAATATAAGAGAATTTTGCTTTATACACCAACATTTAATTATTTTATACTTTTCTTTTGCTTTAACTTGCTTGCCTTTTTCAAGTCCAATGAATATATTATTTGTTTTGGTATCTTGAAACAAGAAGAGAAAATGGCACAAAAAATTAGTGGGAAAACAACAGAATAAAGGATCATTTCAATGTTTGCTGGAATGTGTATTTACCTGAAAGGATCAGCAAACTACTACAGAACCCTGATTTACCATATTAATCGGTTCCACAGACTCAATTAAAAAAGAAAATGTCATAATGTGAACCCAATAATACACTGACATTGCATAATTCGTTCTAAGATGGCATACTTAGAAAATTTTATAACAAATAAATTCATTGTGATTTAGATAATAAAACAACAAAAATACTGAGAATTTCATTCTATTGACATTAAAAAAGATGACATTAAAAACAAGTAATTTGGGCCTCCCCGGTGGCGCAGCGGTTGAGCGCTGCGTTATGAAGCTGCCCGCAGCCTCTGCAGCGCCGGTTCGATCCCCGGCTGCTCCCCGGCCACCGCCACCAGAGGAGGGTCCCACATGGCGCGCAGACCTCTCCTGCTGCCCGCTGCTCCCCTCAGCAGTGTACTTCGTCCATCTGCCTGTTCTGCTCCCTACTCTGGCTCTGGTGAATTCTCTCACCCTCCCACGCTTCTGACTGTACCCAGTGCTTGTATAAATAAATAAATAAATCTTAAAAAAAAAAAAAAAAAAGTACTTCTTCCATAATTAAAAAAAAAAAAAAAACAAGTAACTTAGGCCTCCCTAGTGGCACAGGGAAGGTCTAAGCACTATCAAGCTATTGCCAGTCACTGCATGCAGGGTATCACTGCATGCAGTTACTGCATGCAGAAATGACCTCTCTTATTTCGCCTGCTGCTCCCTTCAGCAGTGTATTTCAGTGGATATTCCTGTTCTGCTCCCCACTCTGTCTCTGGTGGGTCCTCTCACCTCCCCACACCTCTGGCATACACCCCAGTTCTTGTATGCATAAATAAATAAAAATAAATCTTAAAAAACAAACAAGTAACTTAATTTGGAAAAGTAATCTCAAAATCACTTAGTTTGCTAATGGAGAGGGTAGGAAAAACCAAATTCTTGTTCCAATTGTGCTTTCAATACTTATTTTTTAATACTTATTTTAACTGAAATTTTTTTTAATGTGCTTTATACCAATTTACAATTCAGCACAATATTTACACAATTTAATAACCACTTGTATGAAAGGATACATAGATTAAAAACCAAAACATTTGTTTATTACTGTGATGATTTTTATTGACCATGTGTGACAAATCATCACACTGATAAACACAATTAGTTCACATACTAAATTATTCAAATATCCCACCCACATGGCCTAATTGGTGGCAATGGTAATATGAATATTAAATTGTTTTTTTAAAAAGATTCATTTATTTATGCATATAAGAGCTGGGGTACAGGTCACAGGTGTGGGGGTTGAGAGGATTCACCAGAGACAGCGTGGGGAACAGAACAGGCAGACTGACTGAAATACACTGTTGAAGGGAGCACCGGATGAGACAGGAGAGGTCTGCTGCGCCTTGTGGGCAGCTCCCTGGCTGGCTGGGGATCAAACTCGTGCTGCAACGGCTGCGGATAGCTTCATAGGTTGCATCTCAACCGCCTGCACCACCAGGGAGGCCCTGAATGTTGCACCACCAGGGAGGCCCTGAATGTTAAATTGTAAAGTGACTTATATTTTAATAGGATGGAATCTGGTAAGGTGAATGGACCTATAATAAAGTGGGGATGGGGCGGGGGTGGGGGGGGCAGTCTACTGTAGTAGTTTTGCTTGCACTAAGGGTTGACGACCAAATGACTTTTTAAAGTTCTGGTGTTTCCATACAGTTAACCCAATAAACATAATTCTTATTTCTTGAAAAATAATTTGGAATTTATCTGGAAAAATATTCATCTCAGCCAGAGAGCTGAATGCCTTAAAGGAAATAAGTAATTCTAGCTGACATGGAAACTAGAACAAAAAGGTAGTAGTAGTCAAGGTGATAGTATGGGATGAACAAAATTTAGAATACCCACACAACCAATTTTGAGAGTGAATGTTAATTTATTAATCTTTTAAAGTAAACATTCTGATTTTCTGCTGTGGCAAAATATAACAAATATCAGCTGCTTTGGTATTAAGTCTGCCCATTTGTCCTAGAAAAGTAGGACGACCAAACTATCTTCTCATAACAGTAAGTTAAAAAAAAAACATTGTCACAAATTTGAGAAAAGACAAAATTAAAAGATTGGATACTTTGACTTATGTGAAAGAAAAATAAAAATCCAAAAGATATTCTAAATCAAATCAATAAAATGTATAAAAATGACCAGGTTCAGTTAAGAATCTCAAAAAGTGAAATACAAGATTTGTTGGCTGAAATAACAGACTTACTTATTATGAATTCCAAGTATGCCAGAGACAGTTGAACTGCCAAACTAACTTTCGTCACCAAAAAGGGGTTGAAAGTGATCCTGGCAAATGGGAAGAATAACCAAATATAGAAAAAGTGTTTCCACACGGTGAGAAGTTTAAGGGAGAGAAGAGAGATGTTAGTGATATATAGTCTACCCACCATTCCGAGATGCAAATATAGCTGAAAGCCAAGTCATCAAACAAAAATAATAAATTAAAATAGAGATATGAGATTTTAAGCCCTAAAAAGACCAATGGCTTTCTACTCTGTAAGATATAGTTACTAAATTCAAGGTATTAATTTATCTAAAGCTAGAGCTATATAGCAAAGAGAGGATTGATACAGGTTATAATTGGTGGTGCAGATTATCAGTTCTTATGCTCTTATATTGGGTCGGTCTCTCTCTCTCTTTCTCTTTCTCTCCCTCTCTCTCTCCCTCTCTATATATATCTTCTTTCCAGGAAACTGCTATCACAAAGTGTTTTATTTTTTTTTAAGATTTATTTATTTATGCATACAATAACTGGGGTACAGGCCAGAGGTGAGGAGAGTGAGAGGATCCACCAGAGACAGAGTAGGGAGCAGAATGGCAGAGGGACTGAAAACACTACTGAGGGGAGCAGCAGGCAAGACAGGAGAGATCTGCCGTGCCATGTGGGTATGTCCCTGGTCAGCCTGGGATCAAACCCATGCTGCAGAGGCTGCGGACAGCTTCACAGAGCTGTGCTCAATCCCCTGCACCACCAGGGAGGCCCCACACACTGTTTTTAATTAATAGAATGCATCTTGGGATTTTCCCTGTCATTTAAAAAACATGTGGGTTTATACAAGCAGATTATCCAGTATGGGTTGAGCTCTGGTGGATAAGTGGCCAGGATAAACAATAAAAAAAAAAAACAAAACTGGTTGATGCTAGGCATGTAATCCAATTGTACAGTGGTAGGAAAGGACTGTCAACATTCTAATCCAGAGTTACTCTTTCTATCACTAACAGTGGGACGACCAGCTATACGGTCTTTCCTAAACTAAAGCATTGCCTAAGACAAATTCTAGCCAAAGTTATTTAACTTGTCTCCACTAATTTGAATGAAGCTTGGAGAGCCATTTTTTGATTTCCAGGAAACATATAGGAATGACACTGTAAGGAAGCAATCAGACTAACATAGAAAGTGGAATATTTTTCTGAACAACTTGTCCATCGATAAGTCAGAATCAAGAAAAGAAACTTTTTAGAATAAAAGAGAATTCATGTAAATAACCAGATCACTGCGAGTGGTCCTGGATTGGATTCAGGTTCATTAAAGAACAGTTTAGAAAAGATTGGGGAAATCTAAATATGGATTGGAATTAGGTAATATGAAAGAAATTTATGTCTGATGCCACTTCATCTATATTACTTTTTAAAATATGCACCCTCAAGTTAAAAAAATATACGAAAACATGTGTATATATACACATAAAATTAAAAAACAACAACCCAGAAACACTGGTTGAATGAACAAATGAGAAAAGAATGGATTAAGGATAGAGGTTTGATAGTCAAAAGCATGCATGGTAATTAAGACCATGAGAACAGATGAGATCATCCAGGAAAATATATAAGGAAAGGCAAAGAGATGTGAACCAAGATGATCATCAACATTTCAAAGACCAGACACGTAACCATCAAATTGATAAAGAGCAACTGGAGAAGTAAGAGGATCATGAAGAAATAGTACCACAGAAGCCAATGGAGAGAGAGTTTCAAGAGGGATTAATGTCAAATACTCAAGAGAGATCAAGCTGGACAAAGACTGAGAAGAGGCTACAAGTTACAAATAGAATCTGGTCAGTGATGACCTGATGGAGAGGAGTTTCAGTGAATGACTGGAGCGGAAGTCAGAGGAGTGAACTGCAGTTGAAGAAGTGGAGACATCACTCCTTTTTCAAAGAAGTTTGGAGTTTCAGAAAGATGAGAACCTGTACAAATAATAGACAGAGTTCAGATAATGAAATACTTAGTGATTGTTGGTACTAACATGCAATAATAGGTAAGCAAAAGACATACTATAAAGATAATGGCAGAGTTGTATACATAATAAAGGTTTCCTCTTTAAATTCCTCATGCAACCCCTATATAAATATCTGCTATTAAAATAACAGTATAACTGTTATTTTAAAATTTCAGTATAACTAAGTTTGTTTTCCCTACTTGTTTCCTAAGGAAAGGTGATATTGCAGTCCTATACATAGATGTTTCAGTGTATGAAATGCATCAATTCCCTTAAAAATTAAATGTACAATAAATTTCTATAAATTAAATCAGTAAATGAATCAGGAAAATTATCCTCTAAACCTAACTTAGGCTGCAATCTGATTCCATTCAGGTTATATATTTATAAGTAACATTAATTATAAAGGACTTATTTTTATTTTACAATGCAAATTCCTTGGTCCCTATTCTAAATCTATGAGATATATGGGATAGTTATTATTAGCCTTATTTGCCTCCAAAACTATCTGCTATAAGGAACAATATATGATTTTTCCCTTGAAAGGATACTGGGTATACAGAAAAGATCTCCAATAGCCCCAAAGTTGTTTAGCTTTCCTAATTAATACTTTAAAAAATGTGTTATTTTCATATTCTTATCCTTAGTTCAAGTCTCTTTATAGTAAATTAAAAAAAAGAATTTTAAAAAGAAGCTATCAGAATATTTATAGAGCAAAAGTGTATTTTTTTGCCCTTTATTAAAGTCTAGGAATAAAATATTTCATATTTCTTTTTTATAAACAAATTTAACTAAAGTCACTGATTTTAAGAAAAAAAAAACACCCCAATTTCAATACACAGAAATATCACATTAATATTTTGTAATAATAGTTACTCAATATTGTATTCTACTTTAAAAAGTTCAGAGTGTTCAGTACTAGGAGTTCTCTTAAAGTGGGTCAGACTTTATAAATAATAGCTATACTGTGTGTGTGTGTGTGTGTGTGTGTGTGTGTGAGTTTAAGTACCTATACTATACTATCTAAATAGCTAGTTATTTTTAACCACTTTCTATGTACCACTTTCCATGATGAGTACCTTAAGAATTGTTTCACTTAATAGGTTCAATGGTAAAACCTGTGAAGTAAGTAGTATTTATCATCATCTTCATTTCAATTTCATCATTCCATTCAGATGAGCAGACTACATCTTGCTAATTCAAACTAGTGCTGACTTAAAAGACATATAATGTCATACTATGCTGTATTTGAATCACATCCCTAAATAATAATCAAAATTAAAATTAAAAAATGTGCTTTGAAAACTATGCAATAGCAAATTATAGAAAAATTAGAGAGCATGAAAAAATAAAAATAAGCACTAGTTTCACAACAAATGAATGTAACACTACTGAACTTAAAAAATGGTTAAGACAGTAAATTTTATGTTTTTTCCACAATAAGGACATAAGCTTTGTTAGAAAAGATTGTATCTGTTAAAATTAAGATGATGTGTTACTGTAATATTTCTTACACTAGCCATTTCTTAATGATTCATGGTAAATTACATTTACTATTATTCCTTTCATTTTGAAGGCATGGAGAGTGTTTTTCTATAAATCATAAAGTATATAGATGTTTTATAGAAGTAACTCATTTTAAGAAGTTATATAAATATAGTACTATATTTATTGCATTCCTACTCCTAAACATGCTTTCCAAATTCTCTTTAATAATGATATAATTTTTATAAACAGAACAAAAATTTAAAATTTAGATTGACATTAAATATAGTAACTGTGGCAATGAGGAAAGATTTGAGAATTGGATTTTACATCTGAGAATCCACTCAGTATTTACCAGCTTATTTATTACTGTACTTTTATATCTCGAGTTGTCTGATAGGAAGAAGGCAAGTCTGTAATGCACACGTTGTTTTATATAAGTACCTAAGTACTGGCAGTCCAAAGAGTTCTACCAAGGTCTTTGGCTACTTTATATGCAAAGACCCTTTGAAAAGAAAGTAGAATATTCTGGGACCCTACAAAGGTTAAGAGAAATGAGTAGAAATACATTAAGATATGCACAGTCGTGAAGATCCTTTGCCAACACCCTCTGACAAGTCAGAACAAGAATAAAAAATGCTATTATTGAATCTAATCTTCACTGGGCAAGACATCCTAATGAACTGCATAATTCATAACAAACATCAAGTTATATAAAAACACATGTACACAATATACATAAATGACTACAATGAGATTACATTCAGGAGGTTTAATGGTATTTTTAAAGAAAAAGTTTTTGTTAATTTTAATTGTAGTTAATTTGCTGTCATCTCACCTTCGTGGCCTAGTGCGTGGGGACATCATTTCATTTCCAAGTATGTGGTACCGTCTTGCTTCATGTAACAACTGGTAACACTCAGGAGAATTCTGGATCAATTGGTCCACCTCAACTGTTTGAACAAAGTAGTTGGGATGTAACAGAGGAAGTCTCACATGTGTTAAGAGCTCATGCAACAGTGGTCTTCTCAGATCGACAGCATGATAGACCCAACGCATGACGGCTTCAAAAACCATTTCCTCTTTACCAATAACAAGTTCATCGCTACAAATATAATCAATAAGTTCATCTTTGTCAAGCTCAAGAAATTCTTCATGCTGGGACACATCCTCAAAAGTCTGTAATGCAAAATTCTTGCATTTTGTGAATAGTGTCTTGAGTGAATGGGTGTCAGCAAAGCGCTGGATTCCTAAGCAGTTACAAGGATCAAGTTGCTCCTCCAAGAACTTGGCACACACATCACGGAGAACACTGATCTGAAAGAGGCTTGATGTCTCAAAGAGATACTGCACATTTTCTGTAGTGATCTTCACCTTTCCTGTATAAACATACTGCAAGAAACATTCCATAGCTTCAGCTAAAATTCCATTGATCTCCACTAACATTTCTCGGCTTTCTCTGTGGTCATTACAAAACATTGCTCTGAAGTAGCTACTGCAGGCTGAGAGAACAGCTCTATGGCAAGGAAATTCCTTTCCTTCCACACAAATGATAACGTCTGTGAATAAGCGGCTATCTCGGAATTCATTAAATATCTGGAGTATGTTTTCAGCATGGGATGATTCTGAAGAGAACTCTAAAAACTCATGAGCTGTCAGAGATTTAGGGTCCATTTCAAAAACTTTACGCTTAGTTGCTGGGGAATCACGCACCCCAAGATCCTCTCTGTTTAGTCTTCGTCCCAATATTAGTACCATTGTTACATCAGTTGACTATATAATTGTTGAGAAATTATCTTCTTTATGTGGCTAAAGCAAAAAACGAAACAAAAATATCTGAATATGAAAAAATTCAGTATTCAAAGTACATTTCATTTTGTTGTAAATACAACAATATAACATATATTTCATATAGGGCCTAGAACTCTTTCTCATTTTAATAACTTACAAACGAAAATTTTGAACTTGCACAAATAGAAATTAGGGGTAATCTGCAACAGTACCTCTTAAGCTCCCTCCCCAAAGTAATTCACTCTGTGAATTACTAATAACCCTGTCTCCCCTTTTACACAGCTAGGTTTCATCTATTGACAGAGAAGTGAAGTCAGAATGCTGTAAGACAAGAAATTTGATAGATTCAGAATCCTAATATAAATGGTTATTATCTTAATATAGTATTGCTAGAGTGGAATTAATTTATATCTATCAATAGTCTTTTAATATGTGTATTATTTCACCAGGAAGTCGTTTTCTAGCAACTGTCCTAAGGAAATTATCAGGAATACGTGGGAAGATTTATCTATAGATATGTTCAATGCTGTATCATTACTAGGTAATATTTAAGACAGCCTAAATCCCCTAAATAGGAGATTAGTCAGACCATAGTACATCTTAAGTAGTGGAACATAGTCTATGGAGTCATTAATAAGAAACATCTCCATAAAGGAATCCTCTTATAGTGTTGGTGGGAATGTAATCTGGTCCAGCCACTATGGAAAGCTGTGTGGAGATTCTTCAGAAACTAACAATGGATCTACCATATGATCCAGTGATTCTACTTCTAGGAATCTACACAAAGGGCACAAAAACACTAATTTGAAAGGAAACCTGCACTCCTATGTTTATTGCAGCATTGTTTGCAGTAGCCAAGATATGGAAACAATCCAAATGCCTCAAAATAGGGCCTCCCCGGTGGCGCAGCGGTTGAGCGCTTGGTTGCGAAGCTGCCCGCAGCCTCTGCAGCGCCGGTTCGATCCCCAGCTGCTCCCAGGCCACCGGAGGAGGGTCCCACATGGCGCGCAGACCTCTCCTGCCGCCCGCTGCGCCCCTCAGCAGTGTACTTCGGTCCTTCTGCCTGCTCTGCTCCCTGCTCTGGCTCTGGTGAATTCTCTCACTCTCCTCCCTTCTGACTGTACCCAGTGCTTGTATAAATAAATAAATAAATAAATAAATCTTTAAAAAAAAAAAAAAAGCCTCAAAATAGACAAATGGATCACAAAGTTGTGGTACATTTATACAATGGAATATTACTCAGCAATCAAAAAAGACAAACTCATGCAGTTTGCAGGAACATGGATGGAGCTGGGATTATGCTAGCCAAAATTAGAAGAAAACAGATCAACACTGGATTGTCTCACTTATATGTGAAACCAAACAAAAGGTCAAGAAAAAGTCAAAGCTAGCAAACTGATGGGTACAACTAAAGCATACAGCAAAGGAGGGGGCAGGAGGGGGCAAAACAGGGGAGAAATGAACACAAGGGAATATGGGTGATATGGTGGTAGGAGAACTATTGGTACTACAATGATGGAAGAAAAAAATTTAATTAATTAAAAAAAGGGAACATCTCCAAAACTCCTTCAAAAATGACTATGAATAGGTAATACATTGAGACATTTGGCTACAGTTACCAGTGCTCTTAAATTCTGATTTTAAGAGGCTTCTTGGATCCTAATCTTTTATTCAAACTCCAAATGTCAGTATGTGATCAAAAATTTATTTGTATTGGCTTAAGAGCACTCAGAGTAACTCATCTATTCTCATGCTCTCAGGATCTCATGTACAATTTCTTCTAAATGTCTCAACTTCTTCCTGAAATATTACAATAGTCAGACATTCAGGCCTAACTATGTCAACAAAAAGAAAAAGCTTAAGAATATTACAGATAATCTACAGAGGATGTAGACAGTCATCCCACATTCAAGTCACAAACACAACCTAGGCTTGAGTGTTAACAATCTCAATTAAGATTGGATTTTGTATTCCCTATCACACATTAAATTGTACCCTATTTTAAGTCTTTATATGACATAATGTGTAAGCAATTATGAAACATTAAAATCAAGAAGCCACCTTTTATTATATATATTATTTTTTTCATATCTTTTTCTTATCTTTGTTGTGTTTTCTCAATAGTTCTAATCAGTCAGTGACTATATTCTCTAGATACTACCAACTTTTATCACTTCCCTTACTGAGTTCACTTAATTTTGTCACTTATATCACTATCATCATTAAAAATACTTCACTAAAATTGTGTACCTACTATGTCAGATATTGTGCTAGCCCTAATTTTATAGAGATGTTTTGCTGTTCAGATTTTGTAAAATTTAGTTGAGACAAAGCATATTCATGAAAAGATAACACAAGATAGCACAGGCAATATAATACACTGGTATACATGGCAGAGTTCCTATTTAATTTTCTGTACTTTTACTTCTTCACATAAATTAGTACTTTACTTTGCTCGATTCTAGGTGACAAAATTTTCCCTAGACGTATGTGTACAGGTAATTTGAATTGCCCAGGGAAAAGTACCAGGTTATAACAACATCTGAAGGACATCTAAAAGGTTGCATTCCATATAGAATCTTTTCTCTTAAATTCCTCTCTTTCCCCCAGTTTTACAGGTATGGTCAGAAAAAATTCAGGCAATTTTATCAATCCAACAGAATAAAGACTAAGTAAAACAAATTCTATTTTCATCTGGGATCACTAGATGGGGATTCAGAGGCACTAAACTGATATGGAAATGCCTGCTGTGGATGAAATCCTGGCAAAACTGTTGAAGTTCTTAAAAATCTACCACTTAAGCTGAAGGGGCGGAAGAAGGAGAGGAATAACAGGGAGGGAAGAAGGAGCACAAGGGACTGAGGTGATGGTGCACGGGTGCACTGGTGAAGGAAATTCTATGGGGACTATACCTGGTGGGGGGGGGAGCAAATATTGTTTAAAAATTAAAAATTAAAAAAAAAAACCCTACCAGGTAAGGCTTTAGAAACTATAAAGAGTCAAATCTGTGTATGAACTAGTTTGATGAAGCCATGGAGGCTAGCTTTTCTTATATTAAAACACAAACAGAACAATATCAACAACACTAATTTTTTTTTTTTTTTGACCACTTACCATGTGCCTGGAACTTTCCAAACTGCTCATATGGATTATTTAACTTAATCCTCCTAATAACCCCATGAGGTTAATGGTACAATTAATGAAAAAGTTGAATTATAGCTTTAGGACTTTATATACAGGATTAAGAGATTTTTCTAAATAAGCAGGAACTATTAAAGGAAGTGAAAGACTGACAGGGATAAACTTTTCCCTCATTTCTAAATTGAAAACAACAACAGATGCCAAGTATACAAATAAACATGCAATTTATTTTCTGAATGCATAACAAAGGTATCTAATGTAATAAAACATGGCAGTGGAAGCATGTGTAGAAGGACGACTTAAATGAACACACAAAGTAATAATAAACCCAAAAGAATGCTTACAAAAGCTGTGTTTTTGTTTGTTTGTTTTGGGCTAATGTCAGCAAAGTATCACAATCAGTAAAATTAATTTCTCTTAAATTTGTGGACACATTTGTCTACACATGTTTTGGCTCAAGCAAGTTAGATTTTGAAGTGTAGTCTAATTATACTTTGGCGGTTTTAAGTAGCAGATCATTTTAATTCTAAAATGAATAAAATTGCATCTGAGTTTAATATGCTTCATTATTCATTTTTGTATCTGGTATTTGTAAGATAAATTTGGGAATACTATATTAAGTATTAAGTATCAACATAAGGCTGATTAAAACTTTATAGGAGTTAAGGGTCTGTCTCTTTATGCTAATTTTTGCCTCTTATTTTTCTAGCTGGTTCCTTGATTGTTGACTGACATTGTTTTTCACCCCATGTAAAAGTGAAAATCCTAGATTAGAACAACTATAAAATTACTTCATATTACAAAGTATTCAACAACAGCAAAAATCTTCATTTATTTTTATGGAAAGAGACTATCTTATAAATTTGGCTTGTTTCCTTCCAAGCAGCTTTGACCTGGCTGGTAGAACATGCTCACTCTGTGAAACTGCTCCCATTAACCAGTGTCTATACATTACCAAATATTAGTGACAGGGTAAATGATTTAACACAACAAGGTCTTAAGAATGAGATGCATTCCAAAATGTAGTTTTTGGGCTTCTGGATATAATTTACTAGCCTTGACTTTTCCATTTACACTAATTCAAGTGTTTTAATTTATAATGGTTAAAAATATACAGAAAAGTTCAATCACATCTTCAGTACTAAATCTAATATAGGTTTAATATTTACCATAAGTGAACTTACTCATAATCAAGCAAACAAAATTATAAATTGAATTCTAAAAATTCAGCAAATATCAAAACATAAATATTTCCATTAGGAAAAGCAACTAAGTAGGCACCTCTAGACAAAACAAGAAGAAAATATTTGTTCTAAAGGCATATAAGGATTGAAAGCTATATCTAGACAAGTTACTGGATGCACGGGTGATCAGACTGTCATGTCAATTGCTGACTGCCACCGTCAAATGATTTGTCTAGAAAAACTAGTGTCCCCTTCTTTTTTTCCTTCATTTCTCTATAAGTTTTATTTCTAGAACTACGCTTAAAAGAAGGCTTTTCTTAAAGAGATTCTTTAAAAAAGAGAGATTCTTCTGATTAAGGTACTTGAAGGTTTATTACCAACTTGCAGAACTTACAAACATTGCAGACCTAGTTTCTGATTCCTCAGTTTTTAAATTACGTGGTTTTGGCCTATGTCCCACCAGAAAAATGAATGTAGATAACTTATTTTAGTATCTCTAAGACTGGAGAAAAATGTAGAAAAGGCATGGAGAAGATCAGAAAGAAGTGGGTAAATATTTCATCTGGTAACAGAAATGACTGTGATGCTGCCTTCCGTTATAATACTGAAAACAGAATTGTTCCCTGTTACTCAGTTTGGCTTAAGAGACTCCTGTTCAAGAAAGGAAAATGGTTTAGTAATTTTAATAACAATGTTTAAGAGTTTATAATCATTATTATAAATACCTTGTTAGCATTTGCTTGATCAAAGTCCCAGTGAAAATATTTGTGTTGTTTTAATTTCCACACCTAAAATAAATGGAGAACAGCAACATATAAGTCAGATACTAGTCACTTCTTGTAGAGTTGGCATTTGCTAATTGTTTAAATAATTAGTTTTAGATTTCAATTTGACTGAAAGTTCAGTTTTGGATAGAAAATCATTACCAAGTAATAATTGCTTAAAGCGAATTAATAACTGTTATTTTACATACAAGTGAGTTTCCCTTTTTATTAACTCCCTTACTTGATAACTTTATCCTGCAATAAGGTTTCTTGAGTGAAAAGATGGGTAAACAAATATTCACATCAACATAATAATGGGATTGAGATGAGAAGGTATATATCCTGTGATTATTCTGCATTAGATATTCGAAGAGTATCTGATAACTGATGTTTCATCTGAGTTTGGGGCCAATTAAATAATTCTAAGAGTTGTTCTATCAATATTACCAAATGCAAAGCTTAATCATTAGCTATTACTGTGGAATCAATTTGAGAAAATCTCAAGCATTCTGGGTAATTCAGGAAAAGATTTATTTTTAATACTTAAGTTATCTAGATTATCCATATAAAATCTCCAAGCTTATCAAATATCTTATTAGGTTTTACAATATAAATGCATATTCTGATTTGTTGAACCTTACAGACTGAACACCTGTAGAAACCAACCAATGAATTTACCACAATTCCTTTTTTTATTTTTTTATTTTTTTATTTTTTTTTTTATTTTTTTTTAAAGATTTATTTATTTATACAAGCACTGGGTACAGTTAGAAGCGCAGGAGGGTGAGAGAATTCACCAGAGCCAGAGCGGGGAGCAGAGCAGGCAGAAGGACCGAAGTACACTGCTGAGGGGAGCAGCGGGCGGCAGGAGAGGTCTGCGCGCCATGTGGGACCCTCCTCTGGTGGCCGGGGAGCAGCCGGGGATCGAACCGGCGCTGCAGAGGCTGCAGGCAGCTTCGCAACCCAGCGCTCAACCGCTGCGCCACCGGGGAGGCCCACAATTCCTTTTTTTTTAAGTGGAAGGGGAGGAGAGGAATGCTTAAGAGAAAATACTAGAAATTTAAACAATGTACAGAATGGCAACAGTAATTAAACACACTAGTGGTTCTGTATTCTGGTCCCCACATCTATAAGCAGAATTCATAAATTCTTAACAAGTTGAGGCAAATTTGAAAGTTTATCCCAGAAGCCATGATATGGCCTATTTTTTTTCTTTATACAGACACAAATAAACATCTCTACACCCATATTGTGATTGTGAGGTGAATGTTATCTTGCATATTCCTTATTTTCAGATATGAATGTAACTCACATGTACCCCTGGATAAAGAATATTTCAATATTGCCAAATTAGGGGATCGTTAGTGCTAGCTAAGTGTTTCTTCCCAATATGCACTAAAATCCTCAACCAACATAGGGATTCACGGCCACTGAAGAAGTGTTTATAAAGAACTTACTGTATGTCATTGGAGTGGCAAATAATGGATTCAAATTCAAGTTTAGATTCTGTGAAGTTGGTTTAGATTAAAACTGAACAAAAACTCCAAAACTGACACTAAAATAGATTCATTTTCTCAGTGTTTCTAGCAGAATACAAATGTGGCAAACTCTTAACTAATCTGGTCTAGAATTATAGCTTAAGAATCAGAAAGACAAGGCAATTCATTTAGGCATATTCTTCAGAGTTTTAATTGTACCATTCTACTTATAATTTCAAATGTTATAAATTTGCACTCCTAAATTTTCAATTTAAAGCTTTACTCTTGGAGTAGTGTTTTCTGATGGTAGTTTTACAAATGTAGTATGTAAAGTCTAATCTTTAAACTGCATTTTCAATATTTCTAATTTTTCAATGGAATCACCAAGAAAATATTTACCCAACATAAGATATTAGAAGTTAGCTAAGAAGTTTAATTATTTTGTCTAGAATTATAGCAACTAATGATAGTACTATCCCATATTCACTAGAGCTGCATATGGTCAGTACATGATGACCTTGAATAATGAGAGAGAAATAAGAAATATCTGATGATGAGAAACTTAGGAGTGCTTAAGCAGTGTGCTCAATAACTAAAAGGAATACTATCTTCTCTGAAGTCAAGAACAACAAAAAAAATCTCAATTATCCACTCAATGTTTCCACTCTCTTGAAATTTTTTGTTACTATTAGTTCCCAACACCCAAGGAAGAAAATAGAATTGTTAGTCACCAGACATCACACCTGGCATCAAATTGCCCTATTGAGTCTACTTCATGCTTTCCTCTAGACTTAACATGCAAACTTAGTAACATTTGGTTTTATGCTGGCAACATTTTTCTTTTAGATACTGAATACTCTTTCATTTTTAAATTGCAAAACCTATAGGTTTATAAAATAGTTGTTTTTCTGTTAGCAAAACTGGTTTTGGTTCTCTTAAGAATTAGTTATATCTGCAAGGACACTATCTGGTACTCAGTTACTTGTCCAATATTTTAGATGATTTCTCTATGTATAAAAGCACTTCATAGTAAGTAATTTTTATTTATCTTAGTGGTAACAACTTATTTTCAGAAATAACTTAGAAAACATTCAATAAGAAGTAAAGGCTAATCACTTTTAAACATCAATTTAGTATCCTTTAAAATATACCAAATGCCAAAAAACTACAGTGTTTGGGTGATGAATTTAGGCAGTGATAAACTCTTTATTAAAAAAAAAAACTAAGATATTCTTAAAAGAAAGAATAAAGATTTTAAAATGCCAACAGTTTTCCACTGTCAAAATGGTCATCCTACCCAAAGCAATTTACAGATTCAATACAATCCCAATAAAAAAATCTCAATGGCATTCTTCAAAGAAATGGAACCAATATTACTGAAATTCATATGGAAACACAGAAGACCCTGATTAGCCAATGCTCTACTCATTAAGAAGGGAGAAAATGGTAGTATTATGCTTCCAGGCTTCAAACTGTACTATAAAGCTACAAAAATTAAAACAGCATAGTACGGGAACAAAACATACACACAGACCAATGGAATAGAATTGAGAGCCCAGAAATAAGGCCACACACACATGGATAGCCAATTTATGACAAAGGAGTGAAGAACATACACAGGAACAAGGAAAGCTTCTTCAATAAATGGTGTTGCCACATGCAAAAGAATGAAACTAGACCACTATCTCACACCATACACAAAAACCAACTTGAAATGGATAAAAGACATGGACATAAGACCTGAAACCATAAAATACAAGTAAGAAAAACATAGGCAAAATACTCCATGATATAAATTTCACAAATATTTTTATAGATTCATCCTCATTAGCAAGGAAAACAAAGGAGTATATAAACACCCGGGGCTACATAAAAATGAGAAGCATCTGTACAGCAAAGGAGACACTAACCAAAATGAAGAGACACCCTACTCCCTGGGAGAAAATATTTGCGCACCATATATTTGACAAGGGACCGACACAGAACCCCTACAGAGAGCTCATACAACTCAAGCAGAAATAAACAACCCAATAAAAATGGGCAGAAGAGCTAAATAGGCTCTTCTCCAAAGAAGACAGATGGCCAAGAGGTTCATGAAAAAATGATCATTACTTATTATAAGGGAAATGCAAATCAAAGCCACAAGAGATACCACTTCACAGCAATAAGAATGGCCCACAGTTTAAAAACAAACAAACAAAGGGCCTCCCCTGGTGGCTCAGCGGTTGAGCACTGGGCTGCAAGGCAGCCCACAGCCTCTGCAGTGCCAGTTCGATCCCAGGCCACAAAAAAACAAACAAACAAACAAAAAAACCCAAAGCCTCCCCCCCCCAGAAATAGGTGTTAGTGAAAGGGTGGAAAAAAAAAGAACCCTCTTAATACTGTTGGTGGGAATATAGACTGGTCCAGCCGCTATGGGAAGCAGTGTGGAAATTTTGCAAAAGACTAAAAACAGATCTGCCATATATAATACAGCAATTCCACTCTTCGGAATCTTCCCAAAGAATACAAAAACACTAATTCAAAAGGAAGTGTGCACTCCTATGTTAAATGCAGTACTACCTATAATAGCTAGATTATGGAAACAACCTAAATATCCGAAGGAAGATAAGTAGATCAAGACGATGTGGTACGTGTACACACACACACACACACACACATCTTCTCAGCAATCATGCCATTTTTTGTGATTAACATGAAGGGAGGATTATGTTAAGTGAAATAAGCCAGAACGAAAAAAGATAAATACCAGATGGTGTCACCTATGTGTGCAAAATAAGAGAAATTAAACAAAGGGTCAGACAAAGAAAAACTTTAAAAATAACACCTGAAAGCAGACCATAGATTTAAGGCATCCAAAAGTACAGAGGAAGGGGCAGGGGAGAGCACAATAGACTATGGTGGAGAGCTATGGATGCTTTGGTGGTGGGAGAAGCATGGTGACCACACCCAACGGGAGAAATTCTATACTTCAAAATATTAACAAGGATGCAGAACAATGGTACTTCATTAATAATTTTTTTCTAATATAAAAGTATAACAGAAATAAGTAAGTAAATAATGAACAGTTGCCAAGTAGCCACATACTCTTTAAGCCACATACTCATGTTACAGTCACAAGGGACATAAATGCATACAAAATGTATTTTTCATATGTATACTTATGAGGATATTTTATTTACATTTATCACTGCATAGTTCACACTTATTTATTGAAATAGATGTCCCAAATTTGTAGATAAAAGTATACACAAAAATAACTGCAGCCACTTATTTAATAAATAGTATTTATTTTTCATAGGTTTGAGCTTTGGGTTTTAATGAAATGGTAGAAAAACAAGGAAGTTAAGACAAAGGTATTTGAAAAAGCATTAAGGCTTTAGCAGCTAGGACAAAAGCCAGGAAAGTTTAAATTAAAGCTGATAATCATCCTTAGCTCAGAATATTATTTCTTCCTTTTGTTTACAGAGATTAAGTTGCAGGCTTTGTCATGAATCAGCAGGCTTTTGAGTGATTTCATTTTTTGTTTTTTTTAAAGTTAGGGGTTTGCATTTTGTACTTAGAGATATTAAATGCCCTCAATGCACAAATGAGGAGGCAGTTCAGGATCACAGAAATTGCTCCTTCTGGGTGTAGTCATCTCCACTAGAATTTTAAAAAGAGTGCATAGCTTGTAATATATACTCAGTATGAGTGGACAAGTATTGGAATATAAGCTCATAATACTGAATAGTATTAGAGTACTGTTCACCTAATTAAAAAAAAATGAAATAGTGCCTTTGGGGAAAGAATGAATGGACCTTGAGGCGATTATGCTAACTGAAATAAGTGAAAAAGTGAAATACAGATATGGGATGGTTTCACTTATTTGTGGAATATAACCAAAAAACTTAACACTGGCAAAGCACAGCAAAAAATGATTCTTAAACTGTAAAGAATATATTGGTTACCAGAGGAAAGGGGAAGGAGGGAAGTGGGGAAGGGATGGGATAATGCCTTTGGTGGAGGATGAGTGAAGCTTGTGTATATATCAGGTGTAAAAATTAACCCCTAAGTTATATAGACATGTAAATGGCAAATGAATAATAACAATAATAAAGAATGCACAACCAAAAAGGCACTGTTCTTGTTCAATTTCTGCTTCATCCAGGGAGCTCAATTTTCTGCTTACAGAAACGCACTAAGTCTTGGGTGAACTACTGATTTACAGGAAAAGAAAATCTGTTAAAATGAGAAAAAAATGCATCTTCAACGCTCTAAGGCAAAATGATTTTTGTACATTTTATTACTACCTTCTCAGTTTAGAAGTTTAAAACAACACATTTGAGGGCCTCCTTGGTGGCGTAGGCGGTTGAGCGCCGCACTGTGAAGCTGTCCACAGCCTTTGCAGCGCGGGTTCGATTCCCGGGCGGTTAGGGCGAGACCCACATGGCGAGGCAGACCTCTCCTGTCTCGCCCACTGCTCCCCTCAGCAGTGTATTTCAGTCAGTCTACCTGTTCTGCTCCCCACTCAGTCTCTGGTGAATCCTCTCACCCTCCCGAGCCTCTGGCCTGTACCCCTTCTTGCATAAATAAATAAATCTTAAAAAAAAAAAAAAAATTTGCAACATTTGCAACCCACTCACGGATTTTGAATTAGCCTGGGGTTAAATACATAGAAGCATGAACTATAATTCCCCAAACAAGGAAAATAGAAAACCTGTAACTTAGGAACTCATATAATTCTCATTCTTTAACCTCATTGAAAAGAAGCAGATTTTAAATCCATGTCGCATCAGTTTCAGCGGGGGGTGAGCACTCTTAAGTGTCGAATACTAAGTGTGACTTTTAAAAAGCCGCTCAACAAAGCAAGCGACTAATCATTAAAATTCTCTACAAGGAAGTGACTAGCCTCCGCCTCAAGGATGACTGTAAAGCACCGTAAAATGTGGTGTTAAGGCCCATACTTAGCTATTTAAACCTTGTTTATTTACAGAGCCGGCGCAGCGAACTCGCCGAAGGATTTCCTTCCCAACGTGCGCGCAGAGAAGGCGACACCGTGACGGGCCTGATTTTCCCGTCCCCGGGGGGCGGGTCCAGGCCCGCCCCGCAGCGCGGCGCCTCCGGAGGGGCAGCGGGCAGCGCGGGGCCTGCAGCCCGGGCCCTTCGGGGCAGGAGCGCGCCGCCGGCTCCGCTCGGGCCGCCGCAGCCAGACGCGAAGGCGCGCGCCCCCGCGCGTCCTCCAGATCACCTTCAGCGGGCGGGGAAGCGCCGCGGGCAGGTCCCCCTCACGACCAGGCTCGCCAATGTGCGCTCGGGACCCGCCCGGCCGTCCCGCCCGCGGCCGCCTCAGGCGCCCAATCGCCGCCGGGTGAAGTCTTCGCCCCGAGTGTCCAGAACTTGGGGGCGGCGGCATGAGGACCTAAATTAAGAAATGGAGTCCCGGAGTGCTCGGAAGTGGGAGGTCGGGCCCGGGCGCCCGCCCCTCCCCGGGGACGCACGCGCCGGGGCCCGGTTCCCGGCGCGCGCCCCGCTGCGCTCCGCGGTAAACAAAGGCTCGCGGGGGGTGGGGCGGGGTAGCGGTCAGGTGACGGCGCCGGGGACATTTCGCAATCGCTTTAATGGGGCTCCTCTGGCCCACAGCCCGGGGACCCTACCTTGACCCCGTCCGTCCTTCCCGATTGGACCAACGTTCGCCCCCACAAAACGGGAAGGCTTTTGGTTCGAGGCGCTCGCAGGCTGCGCTTCCGAGTACGAAGAGAGCAGCGCCCTTTCCGAGCCCGCCGCCAGCGCGCAGGCACCGTCTCCACACCCCACCCCACCCCACCCCGCCCGCCCGCAGCGGCTGCCACCCCCGAGGCGGCGGGGGACTCGCACCTGCTCCCCCCACCCTGCGGCCACCCCCTCCCAACCCGCCCGGGCGGGGCGCGCCGGCAGCGCCAGGGTTCCGGGGCGGTCGTGCCAGGAGGCGGGGGCGCCCTCCCTCCAGGGCTGCCGCCACCCAGCGGGGGTGCAGACCGCCGAGGGGCGCCGGGAGGCCCCCCGCCTCCGACAAGGGCCCTGCAGCCCCAGGCGCAATCTCTCCGCCGACCCCTCGTTTTGTCCCGAGAGGCCGATCGCCGCTGGCCCCCCTCCCGCAGACACCCCGGCGCTCAGGAACTCGGCCGCCCCCCCGCCCTCGGCTCCGGCCGCCGCCTCGCCTTTCGGCTGGGCCCGAGCTGCCACCCCCGGGTACCTCGCGGCGAGGGCTGGACGCGGCCAGCAGCGGCGGCCCGCTCGGTCCCTCTGCGGCCCGCGGCGCAGCGCACTCTGCAGCGCCGGCGGCTCCCCGGGCTCCAGCCGCAGCCGCAGCTCACAACAAAGGAAACATGTGACCGTCCCGGCCAAAACACTGAGCGTCACCCACCCCTGGCCAATCCGAGTGGGCACCCTCCGCCCTGGGGCGCCCTGGGAGCTGTAGTTCCCACTCCCGGGGCGCCGCCGGGACCCCAAGAGTAGTCCAGCTGCGGGCGGGTGTCGGGCGCGGAGCAGGACCAGAGCCCCGGTCCAGGGTCTGCTGATTCGGAAACACTTAGTTTGAGGTAGAGACAGGCTGATGAAATGCACCCTCTTTATTTGGACCCCACGAGAAACCCGGCTCTCTTGTTGCCACGTCCCAAGGCAAAAGCACATTACCGTGAATTCGCACAACCTTGCAGCGTGGCATGATGTTTAGAGATCTTTTGATATGCAATCGAGGGCTTGAGGGGTGGTCGCTAAACCGCGCAGAGAAGCCACCTTTCTCGTGTATCTTATGCCGAATCCTAGGTTAGCTTTTTTTTTTTGTTTCAAAGGTATGTGCAAATGGAACAAAGTTGTCTCAAATCCCTATTTTCCAAGATCCAGAGCCCTCAAAGGAAGCGTTTTGTTGTTGCAAATGTTTTTTTAGAGAGATGTGTATCTCCTGATTGTGAAACTGTTATAGGACAGGGAGAGGGGCAGCCCTCCTGGGGACCACCCTGTTACAAAACTTTTAACTGGTTTTCGCTTTCTGACACCAGAATTATAACTTCTCTCTCTTCTGTGCTTTATGAATACAGTCATGTCTTTATTAAATAATAGGACCCCTGGAAGAAAGAGCAAAAGTTAGCTTAGTGGATGGCCTGAAGGGAAGGCGGGGCCATGATAGGCACACGGGGCACGGTAGGGATGGGACTGGCCTGGAGAGAGAGATTGTTAAATTAAATTTAAAAATGAAAATATTGCCATTTATTGCGTTCCTGTTAAACTCCAGACTCAGTGTCAATCATTTTACTTAACCTTTTAATTCTCATAACAACTCAACAAGATAGGCTTTATTACCCCATTTTGTAGGTTAAGAAACTAAGCCACAGACAGGACAAAGGGTTGACCCCTACTCACTCAGTTATTAAGTGGGGAAACTGGGGTTCACATTTAATGAAAAATATTTTAATTTATGTTAATATAGACACAAATAAAATTTCCAAAGGTTTATTTCAAAGTTAAATATTACAAGATTAGTAGTGAAGCGGCAGTCCTAGCTCCCACCCTTCCCCATCCTGATTCTTGAGAAGTAACCACTTTTAATTATTTAAGATATCTGGTATATTCATCTACATTTCCATATAATGTGTGGATGGCTATTTCCTATGAAGGAAGCTGTCAGTCCCTGGCCCCCGACTTTCCAACACTATAACTTTTGGTTAAATCATTGAATATTTGTTGTTAAGACTATGTATTTGTTATTAAATGATGAGTCAAATAGAATAGATTTTTCTTTCTTGTATGACCTCCTTCCTCCCCCTGCAGTAGGCAGACAACTAAGTGGCCTCAATGAACTGCCCACACTTCCCCAAATGACTCTCAATATTTTCTCTATCCCTACCCTCCCTCTCTCTCTCCCCCTGCCCACATTATTCCCATGGTATCATACTCTCCCTATGCCTTTTAAGGATCCTCTTTCCCTTCAACCCATTCATTAAGCTAGCTCTTGCTCTTCCTTCCAGGAGTTAGCTTATGCATCCTCTCTCCTGGGGAGCCCTCCCTGCTTCTCCATTGCTCTGTGGGCTAGGGATCTCCCCTCTGTCTTCCCACAGCAGCCCAGCCTTACCTCCTTAGCTGTTATGACACTAATTGTCCATGTTTATTTGCAGGTCTTTTCCAATGAAGTCCCCCCTGAGAGCCCTGATATCTTACTCATTTTGTATCATAGTACAGATAGTAGGTACTCAACATCTATCTGCTAACTGATGGAATCCTCTCTGCCACTTAAAGTTAAGGGAACCTTAGGGGGGAAAATGCCAAAGAACTCCTGGGATATACTTGGACCTGACCACATGATGAGGTCTTCAGACTCTCTTGGATGCAAGATGATCAGTCACAACTCTGAGAGAGGAAGGGAGGTGGGGAGACCCGCATCACAGGCAGCCCTGGCATACAGACAGAGGCCAACTGGTGGATGTGGGAGCACCTCAGGCAGCCAGGATATGGGTGGTTTCTATACTGGCGGAGGGCCCTGGGCATTACATCTACTCCGCAAGTCAGTGCTCATGGTCAGGTTGCAGGCTTTTCCTCATCTGGAACTGGAATAGAAGCAGAACGGTTGGGTTCAGTGTGATGAGGTTGCAAAATCAAGTAAGAGTAAACACTAATGTGATTTGTTTTTTGGAATGTTTCCAATCCAGGTGAGCCTGGTATTTGGAGGAGGCAGATATCTGGAGTGGTAGGGGAGGAGCCAGAGGGTTTTGAGACCTATTTCCTCTCCTTTTGGGGAATATAGTATTTAGTGCCATATTCTGTCTTCTTGCAAATACCTCATGGCATCCTTGTCCTACTCTCCAGAGCCCTCAAGGTTTGAAGATAGCCACATATCTATAGTTCCTCCAGTCATTCTTTTATTTCTAGCTTGCTCCCTTCCCCCAGGCAGACAGTGGTGAGGATGTAGTAAATCATCACTTCCTGAATACCGCTTTTAGACTTCCCTGCCTCCCCCACTTGGTTTCCCACACTTGAAGTCTCTTGGTCTCCATTGCAGTAGAAATGTTGTTCATCCTTTAATGCCCCGTCTTTGGAGCCACCTTTTGTGGAGGCCTTCTCTGAGTCTCACCCTCTCCCTCACCTGCTGTGAAACAGTGCACAACTCCTACATCCTTTAGAATGTGACACTTGCTGTAAGTTTATACCAAGCTCCTGAATGCAGCTGGGTCCCTTGATTAGCTCTGGACCCAGCACTTTGAGCTCCTCTCTTGAAATAAATCTCACTGGTGAAGCACTAATAAATGGAGATTTTACTGAGGGTTCCACAAAGAATCAAATGGCACCTCACACCGCAACACTTCATAAACATTTTAAACATCTCTGCTCCCTCCGATCAGCTGCTCCCTTGGTACCAGCTACTCCTTTATTCCCACCATTCCCACCAGACACCCTCTCTTTTCAACCATAAACTCGGGTTTTCTACCTTCCGGTGATCTCAACCACTTTCCTTCCAGACAACCCCCTCCTCATTCTCGTTCTTTAATTTGCATTTTCACACTCATCAACTTTCAAACAAGAGAGATCCATTCTTTAGGAGAGAGAGAATATCATGAATAACAAATTTTCTCTGGCCACCCCGCCCACACGCAGTTTTCCTCCACACACTTACTGACACCTCAGCAAGTCTGTTACACAATAACCCCTTAGAGTGTTGAGTGAAGGGAAGAGCAAACACAATGCGCTATTTGCTCATGGCACCCAAGCCTCTCCACTAGAAGTCCACCCTCCCTCCTTCTCTGGTGAAGTTAAATGTGACTTGCCTCTGAAGCCTTTGGTTGCAGAGGTGCAACCCTCCCTCACTGTGTAGTTAATAGGAAAAGCTTGAAATCCCCTTTGGGGGCCCCACTCCCACGCCCACCAGTGGAAGCTTGGGGTCAAACATAGTCACATTAGCACTCAACAAGGAAAGACATGACTGGAAGCTTTTCCATTGTGAGCTCTAGGCAAAGAGGTGAGTCTTTGCCACCTGGAAGCTGAGCTATCCCTTTTCCTCCATGAGCTTTCAGTGATCTGCAGACTGCCACAAGGTGTCCTTCCTCACTGAAACTAGAGGCGAGCGTTCCATCTCCTGCCAGGTGGGCTGGGGAAGGTGGTGGTGGTTGCAATATTTGCTTGGTTCCTGAAATTGTCCTTCAGACAGATTGAAGTCAATGAGGTGGCCTCAGGATCCTGTTTGTAACCAAACCTGCCACGCTAGATGCCGATAAAGGGGATAAGTCATCGCCGTGAGCCCCGGCTCCAATTCCAAGGATGCACTTGCATCTTCCCTGCACTGGGATTCCTGCCTTTCTCCTTCATTCTTCTGCCCAAGGACATCTGAATCCACCTCCCTCTCTTCCTCCTTAATTACTTCCCTGGTAGTGACAGTTCAACTGGCCCCTGGAGTCTCAGAAGAAACCTGATGTCTTAAAGTTTTATTGTAAATTATTCCTGTCCTGACTGTTCAGAAGTCTGTCCTAGGAATCCTGGATGGGTTCTCAACCATCTGTGGATAGATCGCTGAACAGTGCTAAAAGTGGAAATATGGTCATTTTAAAAGTCAGCCTAAACTTGTGACCAGATGCCATGAGCAGAAGAAAACACTTTTTATGTGTGTTCATGCCTGAGAGGGTTTTGCATCAAGTCTTGTGAAAAGGTGCTATGGGTGTACCTTGGAGAATTGGTCCCAACTAGAACAGTCAGGGTGTTGCAGGGCGACTCTCTGGGTTGGGGTGGAAGTGGGGCCGCACAAACCTTCCCTACTGAATACACAGCCAGGGAGAGTCAGACGTCTGGATACACAGAGAGCTTCAGAAGAAAGAAGGAAACCTGCCACTTGCAACAACATGGATAAGTCTGTTCCCTGCCCACCCCATACTTAAGTATTTATAAGCTTTAATTTCATACAATCATAATTTTTTTAAATTTATTTTTTATTTTTATTTTCTTACATCATTATTAATTTTTGGACAGAATTTGATTTCTTTACTCAGGTGTAGTCCCTATAGTTCTCCCACTCACCATAGCTCCTTGTACTCTTCCCTTCCCAATCTTAACTCTTCTTCCTCCTCCCCTGCTGTGTGTGTCAGATCTATGGGTCAACTTGCAAGCTTTATCGTTTTTTTTTTTTTATTGGTTTTTTTTCCCCTGACCTTTTGTTTGGTTTCTCTATATTCTACATATAAGTGAAACCAACATGGATGAATCTGGTGGACATTATGGTAAGTGAAATAAGCCAGAGGCAAAAAGACATATATTGCATGATCTCATTTATAT